AAATTATATAAACAAATTAGAATTGTTTCAAATCATTGTTATTGACTAAAAAAAATTACTTTTTTGTAAATGATAAATCATGTAATTCGTGTAATTCGCTATCGTTATCACGGAAGTGCACAATATATTGATAAACTATATTAGGATGGTCTATAATATCTTCTCCTATGATATTTTTTTATGCAATGGTATTCTTTCGCGTCTGCTGACATGAATTACCAAATTTATCTCGTCTTTAAAAAAAATCTTATATATATACAATCTCAATCTCCTACACGGGTCCTTTATTCATGTTCAAGAAGTGTTGTTTTTTACAATAACCAAAAAATTGTCCTTGACTAAAAAAGTTTTCTTCGAATAATCGAATACGTATCTTTCATTTGTGATTCGAGATGGTACAAGAAACTAATACGGACGAGAAAATCGATAATTCGCTCTACAACGAAGCTAAGAAAGATGACAATAAAGAATCAGGTTATCATGATGCTAATGGGAAAATTCATAATGAAGAAGAGGTTGAAAATAAAATATTTAAAGAGGATGATTTAGCTGAAATGTTATCAGCTGTAAGTTATCGAACTTTATTCATTTATTTCAATGTCTTCTTTTGCGTATTTTTAAAATAAATTTAATTTGTTAGGCCGTTAGTTCGGAAGATGATCCATCATTAAATAGTTTGACTTTTCGATTTTGGATTTTAAGCACCGTAAGTTTTTTATGTATATTATGATACATTAAATAGATACATGAATACGTGTATGACTAGATTATATATTATATATATATTATATATCACATGTCATTGCTATAATTACTTACATATCTTATTACCTTATGATTTATGTATCTTAGTTTTTTACGGCGTTGGGTGCCTTTATATCAGTATTCTACTTCTTTCGTGCCAATACTTTGACGTATTCTATGTTCTTTGTGATACTTGCTTCCTTTATTGTTGGAAAATGGTTTGAAAGGCTCCTACCGAATAGGATATTTCGTATTGGAAAGTTTGAATTTAACCTAAATCCAGGTTAGTCACACTTAACAAATATTTATATTTGAATCAGTATAAGCGTCATGTCATGTGTAACTGTTTTGCGCAAATTTTTGTAGGTCCTTTTAACTATAAAGAACATGTATGCATAGTCGCTTCTGCTACTGCAGGTGGTATTAGCGCGTATGCTGTGGTATGATTCACTGTTTTCCCTCGTTTATTTTCTTATATCTTCAATATTTCTTTTTAATGTGTATATTTTTTTTCATACTTATATAGGATATTATCTCAATCCAAGAATTATTTTATGGTACTCATGTCAACTTCTTAGTTGGTTTCTTATTGCTGATTAGCACACAAATGCTTGGATATGGACTCGCCGGTTTTTGTCGAAAATGTATGCATTATTATCTGAAAATAATTGTTTGAAATATTAATATTTACTCAAAACAATTTACATTCAACTAATACTCTAATTTCATTTTCAATTACATAAATTTTTAGTTTTGGTTCGTCCTGCTAACATGATATGGCCTCAATCTCTCGTCTTTGCTAGCATGTATAACACACTACACGGCAATATTTCGGAAATAAACGATAGAATTCGTTTTTTTTATATCGCATTTGCTGCAATGTTCGTTTGGCAGTTTATACCAGGATATATCTTTCCTTGGTTAATTAGCGCTTCTTTGTTATGTCTTATGGTTCCAAATAATAATACGGCAAGGATTTTAGGAAGTGCTCAAAAAGGTTCTGGAATGCTTAGTTTTTCCTTTGACTGGAACGCAATTGGTCAAGTTAATCCCCTATACACTCCATGGTAACCTTTTATCTTTCATGTGCCCTTTATTTAATTTGTTACATTTTTTATTTACTCATTTCCTTGCAATTTAGGTGGTCCCAAGTAAATTATTTTGTTGGTATTATTTTAGCAATATGGGTTATTGCTCCATTAGCGTACTTTAATAATCTCTTGTAAGTAATCATTTAGTTATTATTTACTTTAAAAGATTTACTTTAAAGATTTACTTTAAATATTTGTTATTAATTTCACAAAATTTATCAATTAATTTATCAATTAATTTATCAATTAATTAATAAATTAATTAATAAACTAATTTGTCAATTTTATATAGTGATGCCCAAAAATTCCCCTACATGTCAACTCATTCATTCGATAAAGATGCTCAAACGTAAGTTATTTTTTATGTTAAATTATATTAAGCATATTAAATTTAATTTATTTATTAATTTATTTATTTTATTTTTCTTATTTTTCTTTTTATAGATATGATCAAAAAAGTATCATTGATCCACAGACCAATGCTCTCAATGTTACTGCATACGAAAATTATAGTCCTGTGTATATGTCCACTACATTCGCTCTTTGTTATGGATATTATTTCATGCAATTCCCCGCGACCATTTGTCATGTGTTACTATTTCACGGAAAGGAAATTTGGAATCGATACAAGAAAACTCGTGAAGAGGAAGATAAAGAAGATGTTCATTGCAGAATGATGGCTGCTTATCCAGGTTTCATAATTATTCATTTTTATTATTCATTTTTTTCATTTAAAAAACTTAAATATATCAATTTTTATGTTGATAACAGAGGTACCAAATCTTTGGTATGGTTCTCTTTTCCTTGCCATGTTAATAATTGCTATTATTCTTGGCTATACAACCGGTGCAAATTTACCTATCTGGGCTACATTGTTGGCTGTTGCTCTTGCTCTGCTCATGGTAATTCCAATAGGTAAAATATTTATATTCACTTATTGAAAATATTTTGGTTTAAAAATATAATCTCATTATTCTCTCTTGCTAATAGGAATTATTCAGGCTGTCTCAAATTGGCAAATTGGTTTAAATGTTATGACTGAATTGGTGTGCGGTTTTATGTTACCCGGAAATGCCATTGGAAACGTATACTTTAAAACTTATGGATATATGTCTATGTTTCAATGTTTGATATTTGTTCAAGATCTAAAATTAGGTATGTCAAAATTATCATAGTTGAAGTTATCTAAATATTATTATTAAAATCTTTCTTTTAAATCTTAAAAAGGGCATTATATGAAAATCCCCCCAAGAAGCATGTTCGTAGCTCAAATATGGGGTACATTTGTGGGTATACTTATAAATTATTGGACGTTGGCTATGATAATTCAAACGAAAAGATCTTACCTTGATGGTACAGAAGATGATCCCACCGGACAAGTATATATTTATATTTATATATATATTTATCATTATGACATATTTTTTTGAAATTGTATTTAAAAGAATGTTCTTTATTTATATTCATAGTGGGCTGGTCTTAATTCTGAAATATTTAATACTGCATCTATAGTATGGGGATTGATTGGACTGGCAAGAACTTTCGGGGTAAGTCAGTTCAACCTTGTATTACAATATTTTAAAGTCAATTATAGTGTATAAACCTAATTTTCTTGTGATTTCGTAAATCCAATATATTTGATGATTTCGATAGCGTGACTCAATTTATAATGTGCTCCTTTGGGGTTTCCTAATTGGTGGCTTTTTACCAATACCATTTTATTTGCTTCATCGAAAATTCCCAAAAGCAAGATTCAATCTCATTAATGTACCAGTAATATTATATGGTCTATCTCTTTTTCCCGGAACTTATGCAAATTTCTTAATCACTGGCTTCCTTACAAGCTTTTTAAGTCAATTTTATGCTTTCCGTTTCCAGAAAAAGTATGTATATCGATCTATTTTATCTATTTTTATTGTTATTTAAATACACAAATTTAAATTTAAAATTTCTATTTATTATCTGATAGATGGTGGACAAAGTAAGTTTTTTTTTTTTTTAGTCAATAACAATGATTTGAAACAATTCTAATTTGTTTATATAATTTATGATAGATATAATTATGTGATGTCTGCAGCATTTGATGCCGGTGCACAAATCATGACAATAGCTTCTTTCATCTTTCTTACTGGTATTTTACAGGTAGGTTATTCTTTTAATATTTTTTTCTAGACTCATTAAAAATTTTTTTTTATTTATGTATATGAGTTGACAAATTTTTATCTTCCAGGTACCATTTCCATCTTGGTGGGGTAATGACGCGGCGTCTAGTAGTGAACATTGCTATACTACAGAAGGTTAAAATTATCTTTGGACAATTAGTAGTATAACATGTCTCTTTAACGATAAGGCATATACGTTTTTTTACTATATAATTTTAATGCAAACCCTTTCAAATTATCAATTAAATTTATAAATGTATTCTCATTAATTTTTTTTTATGTTTGTGTCAAAAAAGTCATTAAAAAAGGTTAATTGTAATGTTTATTAATAAATCATATTTTAATATTTTTATCGAATTTCGCGGTTACATGAATCTAGAAAATAAGGCTACAAGATTTAATGCAGTAATATAGTATAAAAAAATTTTTTTTTACATAATCAAAACATTAATCTAATAAAATTTTATTATTTTTAAATGCATATTTCGTTTTATCAAATTCGACATTTTGAACTTTTAAATTTGTTAGAATTTATAAATCTTTAAAGGAACCGTTACATAATCTATATATTGTCATTTTTTACATTATATATCTTTAAAAAATTCTATAATCACTTATGTAATAATTCATTGCTGAAAAAAAAGTAATGATTTGCATCTTTACGAATCAACATCTTGTCGGCCTTTTACAGTATGGTGTGTGTAGTGTCACGGGCAAAAATGTAACTGTAACAAAAAATAACATGCCTCCGTATCCGATCGATGCATTCATTCGAAATTGAATGAAAATTTCATTGTGTAGTGTAAACGATAGAATAGGAAAAAAATTATCGAGTGTTAGGACGATCAAAATGCAATTAATACTTATCTTTTGGTTGGGCAAAAGATCATACCGTAAAATCTCATCTGCGCGCTATTTCGAGTACGCTCATGGGCGTTATTTCGAATGTATAGGCTGATTTTCTGAATATGATGCTAAATAGCCCACAAAGGACTTGTTTCGGACTGGGTCTAAGCCTGAACTTTTTAGCGAAACTAGCCCAGATAAAATTTAATAAAAGGAAATAATGAATTTCCCGGACTTTTTAAGAACCGTAGCTAGGTCGGACCGAACGGACTTTTTAGCATTCCTATTTTTGAACCTGGCTTTTTTTCCAAATAAATAATAGTGGGGTGCGCTTTATTTTTGGACGTTATTTAGGATCTACATATGCTATTTTTAGGGGCGCGATTTTCGAAATAACGCTCATACCTGCTATTTGAGATTTTACGGTAATAAAGAAACACGCCAAATTGTATTCCACGCCTCTAGTAGAGTGTACCTTCAATTTTGCCTGTCACATTTTGGTAGTGACTGTGAGATCGAATACTAACTGTGAAAAGCCGTGAGATACGTTCGCAACCAAAATAAAATAAAAAGAAAATTTCGTTAATGATAAACATGGAAGAGTCAAACATCAAGGAACAATTGGAAGTTGATACTTACTCAAGTTGATTGTATTAAGAAAGAAGCCCAGTAGAAATTGGAAGAGCCCACTGTGAAATTCAAACGATAAATCATGCTCAAGACAATAATAATATTAATAATAATCGTATTAGAGACAAATCCTAAAGAGCGAAAAAGGACAACTGAAAAGTTAACACTTACTCAAGTTATTGATACCAAAAGAAATCATAAGTGAGAAACCTGAGAAAAAAGAAAAAAGAAATAAACATTAATTAGAAAAGAAAGTTTTTTAAAATACTTGACTTTGGCAAAAGAGTTGTGGAAATTTTGAGACCCTATAGATAAATCCGCTTAAAAAAATAACATAATTATCACTGTATCCGACCAAGAATAATACAGCAAGACGAGTATTTTTATTACACAACTTACCAGTCAGAATTTTAACTCACAACATAGCACAGAATGTAGAGTGATAGCATTTATTTAATAGTCAATAATTTGTATAGTTCAAAATTGGAATAGTTTCAAGCATTTTATTACAATTATTATTATTATTATTTTATCAATTAAAACAAAGAAAACATTCTATCTATAGCTTTTTGAATAATAACAGTAAAGTATATTGACTGATATATTGACAGTACTTACTTTTATTTTTTATATATAAAACTAATAAAATATTGACACATCGGGCGAATTATTTGTTGTATAAGGCTTGGTAAAATCTGGTATCAACAGTTTAGAACG